AATAAAATAGTTAGTCATCAATATTTTCAAGTCTATTGAATTTATATTCACGCACTGGCCGCCAAAATCCACACTCTACACTATGAAGTGTCAAGTGTGTATGCACTGTGACTACTTTTATATTGTTGATTAGCTCCTGGGCATTTCACTCTGTCTCGCGCTGAAGGCAGTCAGTGTTGACCAATCGCAACAGACTGTCATCGGTCCAATCAGCGCAGATTAGCTTCGCGCTTAGGAGGGGTTTGGGAACAAATGAATCACTATACGATGCATATGGGAGTCTCTGGGATAATTAGGTAAAAAATAAATGCAGATTATAAGACTTTTTAAATGTTTTCGAGCAGGCTTCCAGAACCATGTGTTAGGACTGTGGGGGAAACCGGAGCACCTGGAGGAAACCCACGCAAACACTGGGAGAACATGCAAACTCTACACAGAAATGCCAACTGACACAGCCGGGACTCGAACCAGCGACCCTCTTGCTGTGAAGTGAGAGTGCTAACCACTGAGCCACTGTGCCACCTCTATTCTATTCTACTCTATTCTATTCAACCCATTCTCATTCCGAGAAACGTACCCCTGCATATATTTCTGTAGAGCGCCAAATATGGCCCCTTTCCACTGACTGGTACAGTACGGGTCGGTACAGGTCACCTTTATCAGGCTTGCGTTTCCACTGCCTAAAGAGTACCAAGGGTACTTCCAGAACCATGTATTAGGGTACCCTTTATGGGCGTGGTGTACGACAGAAAATTTCAGTCGACGTCATTCTCATTCGAGAAAATGTCAACGTAAAGCTGTACGATTCGTTCACAAATCATACGAGAAGCACCTCACAAAACAGATTCTTCATACACATAAATACTTGTGTATAAATGTTCGTTACTCACCTTTATATGAACATAATTTAACTATAACTACAAATCAATGACCTACTGAGTAGCCAACTGTAATGTCTGTGATTATATAATGTAAATAAATAAATGAAACATATATGAACACATTCAGACCCCTACAGTCTTCGATATGTTACCAATTACAGAAAAAACTACACACAGCAGACATTTAGCCCTTATTTGGGTTCAAAAACAACATGCAACATATCGCCCACAGTCAGTGCAAACCTCTCATCTTTAATCTTCAGCAGCACATGTAGCCTCTTGTTAGAGAGTAATTTAATGATTCTGACTTCATAAAAGTCCAAAAGGCGATGATAACCATGACAATTTGCTTGTGCTTTAGGTTGCAGAAGCATCATTTGCTCCTGTGTTTTGTCGGGCTTCTCCTTTGTTTTTTCGTGCTTCACTCTCGCACTTTTTATTCTGGCTAGCTCCACAAACGAGTGACTTATCTCTGTAAACCAATAGTGTTTAGCTGTGCATCTAGGTCCACCTTTTGGTACCCTTTATTTCTGCTTGGCACTCTTTGCAAAGGGTAACCAAAAAGTGATACTGTAGAGTTAGCTTTTAGGTACCTTTTGACAGTGGAAATGGCGATAAAAGCGTACAGAACCGTACTGTACCACTCAGTGAAAACGGACCAATACATCCCCTGGGGTATGTTTTTTTTTTTTTTTGCTTTTTGTTTTCGTGAATCCACCAGATGCCGCTGTGTACGCTTTTTCAGATCTCAAATTTCTCTCGCCAATCATGCCTGCTCTTCTCACATAAATATACCAGAGCAACTGACTGATACCCCCACCCACCCCCTTTCCTAACCCCAACCAATAGTTTTTTCAAAAGCACCGATCGACCAGCGCCCACCCACTTCCCTAACCCCAACCGATAATGTTTTTAAAAGCACCAATCGACCAGCGCCCACCCACTTCCTTAACCCCAACTGATAATGTTTTCAAAAGCACCGATTGACCAGCGCCCACCCACTTCCCTAACACCAACCGATAATGTTTTCAAAAGCATTGATCGACCAGCCCCCAACCACTTCCCTAAACTAAACCGATAGTGTTTTCAAAAGCACAAAAGAAATGGTGTCATACCGCCCTGTAGCATTTGTTTTAAAGACGAAATGCAGACATATGTACTTCTGGCTACATAATTCATGATCTCCAGAAATGTGTATAGAGATATGTCTTTATGATGAGCCTGTGTTGTTTCTATTCTATTCTATTTTAGCACAGTTCATACAAGGTGAAAGTGGATATTATATTATATTATATTAATTATATTATATTATATTATATTAATTATATTATATTATATTATATTATATTATATTATATTATATTATATTATATTATATTATATTATATTATATTATATTAATTATATTATATTATATTATATTAATTATATTATATTATATTATATTATATTACAGTATATTATATTATATTATATTATATTATATTATATTATATTATATTATATTACAGTATATTATATTAATTATATTATATTATATTATATTACAGTATATTATATTAATTATATTATATTATATTAGAGTATATTATATTATATTATATTATATTATATTATATTATATTATATTATATTATATTATATTATGGCAAGTTTCCATAATGCAGCTGTAGTAATTTCTGAGTAATATAAAATGCTTCAACATAAATCCTACGCTACTTTTTTTTCAACATACCTGCATTTGCTGAGGCTTTTGTTGTTGTTCTGGCGGTGATGGAGATGTTCTTGCATTACAGTAATTCTGCACAATAATTGAACCAATCAACTTGTTAAGTCCTTGACAACAGCACACATGAGCGCAAAAATGTAGGTCATGAGATTCTTAGATGCTTTCATCCAACTATATATTGATTTTTTTTTGTTTCGTTTCAGATTGCAAAAAAAAAAAAAAAAAAACATCTCTTTTGTCTTTGCCTTTTCAAAATAACATATAAAATATCTGTGCTTTGTAAACAGTTTTTACTCAGAAATGGCAAAGAAATTACAAGCAACACTTTGACTTAAACACTGAATCTTTTGCAGATGTGCTGAAATGGTTTCTTGTGATTCACTATATATGTTTACCGTGCCTAGTGTTTATAAGGACTTTTTACAGTTCAAATTATGATTAACGACATATTTTGGTTTCTTAGAACTGTTTTATTAAAATAATCAGACTTGTTCATGGCAACACGGTGGCTCAGTGGTTAGCATTGTGACCTCACGGCAAGGAGGTCGCTGGTTTAAGTCTTGGCTGGGTCAGTTGGCATTTTCTGTGTGGAGTTTGCATGTTCGTGTTGGCGTGGGTTTCCTCCGGGTTCTGTTCTATTCTCTTCTATTCTTCTCTATTCTCTTCTGTTCTATTCGATTCTTTTCTGTTCTCTTCTGTTCTATTTTGTTCTATTTTCTTCTGTTCTCTGTTCTGTTCTCTTCTGTTATATTCTTTTCTATTCTCTTCTGTTCTATTCTATTTTCTTTTCTTCTCTTCTATTCTGTTCTGTTTAATTGTATTCTATTCTATTATGTTCTATTTTCTTCTGTTCTATTCTATTTTGTTCTATTCTCTCCTGTTCTCTTCTTTTCTATTCTCCTCTGTTCTATTCTCTTCTGTTCTGTTTTATTGTATTGTATTCTATTTTGTTCTATTCTATTCTCCTCTGTTTCATTATCTTCTGTTTTACTCTATTCTGTTCTATTCTATTCTTTTATATTCTATTCTGTTTTATTCCATTCTGTTATGTTTTCTTCTGTTCTATTCTATTCTATTATTTTTCTGTTCCAGTTGATCTATTTTACTATCTATTTTATTGATTCTTCTGTTCCATTTTGCTTTTGAACGTGATAGTAAGCGTTTTTGTTATTACTCTGTTTACATTCTAATATTTCCTTTTGTAATTGATCTACATTTACTATTTATTCTATACTTTTCTATTCTGTTTTTGAATTTTAATGTGTTTTCTTCGTTTATACTAATCTATTGCATAAATCTTTTGTTTTTACCATATTTATTTTTGTACTTTAAGGGTACACTTTTGTACATTTAAGATATTATGCCATTTACACATTTGTACTTTTTAGGTATAAATATATACTATTAACGTACAAATGTGCACCTGATGGGTATAAAAGTGTACCTTTTGGAAGGCAGTGACAGCTTTTGTACCTCTATTTTTGAGAGTGTATGCTATTATTTTACCTATTCTAATTGATCTAGTTGTACACTTTATTCTATTCTGTTTTTGAATGTTAAAGTATGTTTTTTGGTAAATTTTCTGTTCTATTCTATTATTTTCCCAATTCATCTATTTTACTATCCGTTTTTCGATTGTAATCTGTTTTTGAATGATAAAGTATGTGTGTTTTGTTCTTTATGCTCCCTCTGTGATGTAGAGTGAGCCGCAGCATTGCTTTGCATGCTTTTTGACTCTCTCTCTCTCTCTCTCTCTCTCTCTCTCTCTCTCTCTCTCTCTC